TTTTCACCCATATACTTTTCACCCAGAGACTCTTCTTGCACATACGTTTCACCCATATACTTTTTACCCAGAGACTCTTCACCCAGAAACTCTTCTTGCACATACTTTTCACCCATATACTTTTTACCCATATACTTTTCACCCAGAGACTCTTCACCCAGAAACTCTTCTTGCACATACTTTTCACCAATATACTTTTCACCCAGAGACTCTTCACCTAGAAACTTTTCTTGCACATATTTTTCACCCATATACTTTTCACCCAGAGACTCTTCACCTAGAAACTTCTCTTGCACATATTTTTCACCCATATACTTTCACCCAAAGACTCTTCTTGCACCTACTTTTCACCCATATACTTTTCACCCAGAGACTCTTCACCCAGAAACTCTTCTTGCACATACTTTTCACCAATATACTGCTCACATTTTTTCACCCAGAGACTCTTCACCCAGAAACTCTTCTTGCACAGACTTTTCACCCAGAGACTCTTCACCCAGAAACTCTTCTTGCTCAAACTTTTCACCCATATACTTTTCACCTAGAGACTCTTCACCCAGAAACTCTTCTTGCACATATAATGGTCCCACATCGGAGCCTCAATTTTACTTTTCCCCCATATACTTTTTACCCATATACTTTTCACCCAGAGACTCTTCTTGCACATACTTTTCACCCATATACTTTTCACCCAGAGACTCTTCACCCAGAAACTCTTCTTGCACATACTTTTCACCAATATACTTTTCACCCAGAGACTCTTCACCTAGAAACTTTTCTTGCACATATTTTTCACCCATATACGTTCACCCAGAAACTCTTCTTGCACATACTTTTCACCCATATACTTTTCACATCCCCTGCTAGATTAAGTGGGGGGGTTGGGTGCCCCCATTTTATAGTACTAAAACGGGGGCACCCATCCCCCCCCGGAGTGGGACCTCTATAAAATGGAAACACCCAAGGTCACAAAACAGGTGCACCTCTATAAAATAAGAAAATTATTTGAAAAAACAAATATTTACAGCTACAAATTTACTGCAAAACCCTCCATCACTATAAAATGGGAGGCCCCAACGTACCCTGGAGCCTAGCCTTAAAATGAAGGAACTAGCCAACTTTCTACTATAAAATAGGAACCCCCAACCCCCTGTATCTTACAACATCCAAAAATGAATGGTTTCTTGAGGGGTTGGGTGCTCTGATTTTATAGAGATTACATGCCCTTCCTGGTAGGATTTTCTGGGGGTTGGGGGTTTCCATTTTATAGTGCCGCAGCCTCCCCACATCCTCCCACCATCATCGCCCCAAAGACACCACATTTTTCTTTAGCCCGGGACGTCCCAAAGCCAGGGGATGCTGACACAAAGACCAAGACTTATTTTCTGGTAGTTTTCCATTGGTCCCATGCTGTCCCATGTCCCAAAAGCCAAGGGATGTCGACAAAAAGACTGGTATCGACGGAGCTGGGTATTTTGGGGCAGCTGGATATTTTTTTGGGTGGGATGGAGATAGCTTTCCATTTTATAGTGGTCCTATGCTGTCCTATGTCCCAAAAGCCAAGGGATGTCGACAAAAAGACTCCAAGCTGGGTATTTTGTTGTGTCGACAGAGCTGGGTATTTTTGGGGCAGCTGGGTATTTTAGGGTAGGATGGGAAAAAAAACATTTTATAGTGGTCCCATGCTGTCCCATGTCCCAAAAGCCAAGGGATGTCGACAAAAAGACTCCAAGCTGGGTATTTTGTTGTGTCGACAGAGCTGGGTATTTTTGGGGCAGCTGGGTATTTTAGGGTAGGATGGAGAAAAATAATTTTATAGTGGTCCCATGTTGTCATGTCCCGAAGTCAAGGGATGTCGACAAAAAGGCCCCAAACTGGGTGTTTTGTGGTATCGACAGAGCTAGGTATTCTGGGGCAGCTGGGTGCTTTCGGGCAGGATAGGATGGAGAAAGTTGTCTATTTTATAGTGGTCCCATGTTGTCATGTCCCGAAGTCAAGGGATGTCGACAAAAAGGCCCCAAACTGGGTGTTTTGTGGTATCGACAGAGCTAGGTATTCTGGGGCAGCTGGGTGCTTTCGGGCAGGATAGGATGGAGAAAGTTGTCTATTTTATAGTGGTCCCATGTTGTCATGTCCCGAAGTCAAGGGATGTCGACAAAAAGGCCCCAAACTGGGTGTTTTGTGGTATCGACAGAGCTAGGTATTCTGGGGCAGCTGGGTGCTTTCGGGCAGGATAGGATGGAGAAAGTTGTCTATTTTATAGTGGTCCCATGTTGTCATGTCCCGAAGTCAAGGGATGTCGACAAAAAGGCCCCAAACTTGGTGTTTTGTGGTATCGACAGAGCTAGGTATTCTGGGGCAGCTGGGTGCTTTCGGGCAGGATAGGATGGAGAAAGTTTTCCATTTTATAGTGGTCCCATGTTGTCAGGGATGTCAAATTTGAAAACTCCAAGCTGTGTATTTCGGGGTGTCGACAGAGCTGGGTATTTTGGGGCCGCTGGGTTTCTTGGGGTAGGATGGAGAAAGTTTTCTATTTTATAGCGGTCTCATGTCCAAAAGCCAAGGCCTGTCGGTATTTTTGGGGCAGCTGGGTATTTTTTTGGGTGGTTTTCCATTTTATAGTGGTCCCATGCTGTCCTATGTCCCAAAAGCCAAGGGATGTCGACAAAAAGACTCCAAGCTGGGTATTTTGTTGTGTCGACAGAGCTGGGTATTTTTGGGGCAGCTGGGTATTTTTGGGGCAGCTGGGTATTTTAGGGTAGGATGGAGAAAGTTTTCCATTTGATAGTGGTCCCAGGCTGTCCCATGTCCCAAAGCCAAAGGATTTCTCCAAGCTGGGCATTTAGGGGTATCGACAAAGCTGGGTATTTTGGGCCAGCTGGGTATTTTGGGGTTGGATGGAGAAAGCTGGCTTTGTTTGTCCACTCTATTCCATTCTCTTCCATTCTTACGTTTCTCTGGTTTGGGAACACTCCCCCAGGTTCCCATTGCCATCCATGCTATAGCAGGAAACGGCACGCGAAGACTGAGCAATGCAACTACAACCCATGATCACTATCAAATGGAGGCTACCAACCCCCAAAAGGAATGATTTCCTGAAACCTCCTGACTCTATAGAATGGGAACACCCAACCCCCATGCATGAGTGTCATGCCAAAAAGAGAATCGCTATAAAATGAAATTTAATATTGTAAAATCAAAATCCTCCTGCCCCCCTGGGATCACTATAAAATGAAAGTCCCACCCCCCTGGAAAAAAACATCGCTAAATTTTGTCTTAAAAAAATGGTTTAGTGGGACCCCGGGGTCCCCCATTTTAGAGAGGGTTATTCCAAAGGGGATCTTTTCACCCAGAGACTCTTCACCTAGAAACTCTTCTTGCACATACATTTCACCCATATACTTTTCACCCAGAGATTCTTGACCCAGAAACTCTTCTTGCACAGACTTTTCACCCAGAAACTCTTCACCCAGAAACTCTTCTTGCACATACTTTTCACCCATATACTTTTTACCCAGAGAATACTTTTCACCCAGAGACTCTTCACCTAGAAACTCTTCTTGCACATACTTTTCACCCATATACTTTTCACCCAGAGACTCTGCACCCAGAAACCCTTCTTGCACATACTTTTCACCCAGAGACTCTTCACCCAGAAACTCTTCTTGCACATCAGTTCGCCCATACACTTTTCACCCAGAGATTCTTCACCCAGAAACTCTCCTCGCACAGACTTTTCACCCAGAGACTCTTCTTGCACATACTTTTCGCCCATATACTTTTCACCCAGAGACTCTGCACCCAGAAACTCTTCTTGCACATACTTTTCACCCATATACTTTTCACCCAGAGACTCTTCACCCAGAAACTCTTCTTGCACATACTTTTCACCCACATACTTTTCACCCAGAGGCTCTTCACCCAGAAACTCTTCTTGCACATACTTTTCACCCATATACTTTTCACCCAGAGACTCTTCACCCAGAAACTCTTCTTGCACATACTTTTCACCCATATACTTGTCACCCAGAGACTCTTCACCCAGAAACCCTTCCTGCACAAATTTTTCACCCATATACTTTTCACCCAGAGACTCTTCACCCAGAAACTCTTCTTGCACATACTTTTCACCCATATACTTTTCACCCAGAGACTCTTCTTGCACCTACTTTTCACCCATATACTTTTCACCCAGAGACTCTTCACCCAGAAACTCTTCTTGCACATACTTTTCACCAATATACTGTTCACATCTTTTCACCCAGAGACTCTTCACCCAGAAAACTCTTCTTGCACAGACTTTTCACCAAGAGACTCTTCACCCAGAAACTCTCCTGGCACAAACTTTTCACCCATATACTTTTCACCTAGAGACTCTTCACCCAGAAACTCTTCTTGCACATATAATGGTCCCACATCGGAGCCTCAATTTTTCCATTGTGTTTCCATCCCATCAATTTCCGTCATTTTCCTCTTATTTTACTTGGCATCATTTTGGTCCCACATCAGAGCCGCAATTTTTCCAATATGTTTTCCATTGTTTTTCTCCACTTCTTCATCATAGTCCCTCGATTTTTCCATTGCTTTTCCATCGCTAATGGTCTCACATCGAAGCCACAGTTTTTTCATTTTTTTCCATTGCTTTTCCATAGTTTTACTCGACATCATTTTCCCCTCCATTCCAGTCTCCCCAGTGTTTTTTTCACAGTTTTTCCTCCAGTTTTACTCAATCGTCCCATATTTTACGCTATCAATTTATCCTTCCATTTCATCATTTTTTCCAGTGTTTTGCCATGGTGTTACTCGATTTCTCCATCATTACCCTTATATTATCTCAGTGTGTCTAACGCTTACCCAAATGCACCTCCCACAATCCCTACCGTTGCACCGTATAAACGGTTTTGCTCGTTTCTTCCATGGTTTTATTTCCGTGCTTCTACTACATAGTGGTCACACATCGAAACCGCATTTTTTCCATTGTTTTTCCATTGTTTCACGCGTGCTTTACGCGATAATGGTCCCACATCGGAGCCTCAATTTTACTTGGCATCAATTTACCCTCTCCCTATTCTTTCCACCGTTTCGCCTCGCGTTTTAATCAATTTTCCAAGCGTTCTCCTCAAATGTTCCATTGCTTTCCCATTTTTTTTCCATTGTTTTATGTCAAAGTCCCTCCTTTTTTCCATTGTTTTTCTCATCATTTTCCCCTCCTTTCCCATTTTTTTCCCATTGTTTTATGTCATATTCCCTCATTTTTTCTAGTGTTTTTCTCATCATTTTCCCCTCCATTGCAATCTGCCCAGATCCACCTCGGAGGGCGGACCAGGGGGGAATCGATACCCCAACGTCACCCAATTGCGGTCCCACATCAGAGCCGCAATTTTTCCAATATGTTTTCCATTGTTTTTCTCCACTTCTTCATCATAGTCCCTCGATTTTTCCATTGCTTTTCCATCGCTAACGGTCTCACATCGAAGCCACATTTTTTTCATTTTTTTCCATTGCTTTTCCATAGTTTTACTCGACATCATTTTCCCCTCCATTCCAGTCTCCCCAGTGTTTTTTTCACAGTTTTTCCTCCAGTTTTACTCAATCGTCCCATATTTTACGCTATCAATTTATCCTTCCATTTCATCAATTTTTCCAGTGTTTTGCCATGGTGTTACTCGATTTCTCCATCATTACCCTTCTATTATCTCAGTGTGTCTAACGCTTACCCAAATGCACCGTCCACAATCCCTACAGTTGCACCGTATAAACGGTTTTGCTCGTTTCTTCCATGGTTTTTTTTTCTGTGCTTCTACTCCATAGTGGTCACACATCGAAACTGCAATTTTTCCATTGTTTTTCCATTGTTTCACGCGTGCTTTACGCGATAATGGTCCCACATCGGAGCCTCAATTTTACTTGGCATCATTTTACCCTCTCCCTATTCTTTCCACCGTTTCGCCTCGCGTTTTAATCAATTTTCCAAGCGTTCTACTCAAATTATCCATTGCTTTCCCATTTTTTTTTCCATTGTTTTATGTCAAAGTCCTTCCTTTTTTCCATTGTTTTTCTCATCATTTTCCCCTCCTTTCCCATTTTTTCCCATTGTTTTATGTCATATTCCCTCATTTTTTCTATTGTTTTTCTCATCATTTTCCCCTCCATTGCAATCTGCCCAGATCCACCTCGGAGGGCGGACCAGGGGGGAATCGATACCCCAACGTCACCCAATTGCCACCTGGTACATAACCCTAAAAAAGTTTACCTGTGGCCACCTTTTTTACCACCTAATTTCCTCATTTTTGGCCGGTTTGGGGCGCTCTGCCCCCAGACCCCCTTAACTCACTTTGTTCGCAAAAAGAACTTCGCCTAGCCTAGCGGCTGGCTTTCGTGACAATCACGTACAACCATGCAATGATGCTGCGGACAGGTATATGAAACATTCCTATGAAAAGCTGTACCTATCCCTGGTCTCTGCGCCATCTGCACCGGAACCCTCCGGAACCCCGGAACCTTGCCCGGAACCTGGTGTTGAAGCTGCACCGGATCGCACCAGAGCTAATCTGGGCTAAAGACCCCATAGCAAAGTTTTGCTGTTGGGGAAAAACACCAGCCATACCGGCCATACCCTTCAAAAATCCGACTTCTGATATGATTTCATTTCCACTTCTATATTGGTATGGGGTATTTGCAGCCACTGGAAACTGAGAGTGTATCAATCGTCACTTCAGCCATGGCAGTGGCAGCGCACCATCCACAGGAGGGCATCGCCACCCACACAGCCCAACTCAAGGGACCCCAGGTGCTGTAAACACCGCAGCAGCAAACACCTGGGAGCCACGGTAGATCCGAGCAATTCTGACTGAATATGGCTTTCACCAAGAACGGGGGAAGGACCCGATTTTACATGGTTTTACAGATTTTTACATTGATAAATATAAAAGCGATGATAAAACTCTGCTATAAACTCTGGTCAACCATCAAAATCACATCCTTTCCGATGATTTGCATATTTTCCATACGGTTTTCGATATCAGAAAAGGTCAGAAAAGCCTAACTTCTAGGCTTCAGACACTGGCGGCAGGTCTCCACGCTCAGCCATCTGCGATCGCAGCACTGGGTGTGTCTAAAACTTGGGACTCAACTAGGGAAAATGGTGATATATTATAATGGAGATCTATTGGGGATAACTGGGATAACCAACAATCAATATTTCAGTGTGTCAAAACCTTGGCCGTTTATCGCAATTTGATGGCAATTGTAGATACCTCATGATGAACCATGGGAATGTCGGGGTACCCCGTTTTTAGAGAAGCCCCACTGTTCCCCAGTGCACTGTTTATCCGAGTGAACTTGGCGTACTGGTGAAAGAATCGGACTTGAGCAAGGAGGCTGGAAATCATGCAACATTAAAAATTAGAAAGCGACTAAAACTAAAGCGTTGAGTGGGGAACTAAAGCAATCATGGAGAAGATCTAGAGAGCTGGAGCTCGTTCAAAGACTTTCAAAGATTGAAGAAGCTTCAGATGTGAGGTTCATTCCGAAGTGCCAAGACTGACAACGAGGGTTTCATGCGAAGACCTGATGTGCACAAATCTCCTCTTGCTCAGCATACTGATGATCCCTGAGTGATGAGCACAATCACGAACGAATGCCATCATTGTGGCCATCACGGGGCTTCAAGGACTTCCTTTCCCCATAGTTGCATTTTAGTTTAGAGTCTTCACCCGCTGGCTCAGTTAGGTCTACTGTTGCATGATTCCTTCTTCTCCATACCAGTATAGATACATACGTACGTATAGTACATGGCAAAAACATACAAGAACCACGCAGTCTGTCTATGATTCACGCTGACCAAAAAAAGGATATCCTTTCATTGACGCTTCGGGTGCCCGCACGCGTTCCAAATGCGCAATGCTTTCGGAAGCTTTGTCAACGGACTTTGTCCGTGCACCTGTGGCATGGAACTCAAGCTTATGAAGAAATGGCAATGGGTCAAAACCCTGGTACCCCAGTGAGCATTAAAGTAGTTGGCAAATTTGTGTCCATGCCACAAATGTGGTGTATGTATAGGGATGTATAGGGTTTGACCCGTGTTAAATCGGTCTTGCATGCCACGGGTTTAATTAAAAACAATGTTGAGGAAAGGGCACTAAAAGTAGAAACTCTCGAAACTCTCCAAACTCTCACGGGTAAAATGCCCAAAGATCTGATTTCACAATGCCTTCGCCATGCTGAGGCCGTCCGCCAAAGCGCTGTCCTAGCAGAAGTCCAGCAAAAAAACATGGTTGACCTCATTTAGTTCGATGATTTTCCCATGCGTGGGAGACTTCCCATGGTCACTCTAGCCACTGTGTCCTAAAATTATTTGGTTCATTCTTGTTTGCCGTTGCATACAACTGCCTTCAGTGACGGCCACGTACGGTAGGTTTCGGAGTTGCTGACGAAGACCTACACAACCCGTTGGTCAGGGAAGGCATGGGAAGGCCAAAGTATGCCACAGAAGACATGTGAGAAACATTGAAGCATCATTCAAACCAGATGTTCCACAATCCTGGTTACCAACACATTGTTTGTCATTGTCATACATGTTGGTTGCACCTTTTTTCCATTACCTCCATTACCACCATCACCGTCATGGCAACAACACCGTCACCACGAACACCTTACCAGTATCATGGCAGGTTCATGTTCATCGTCATGGTCATGATCATGATCATGCACATCGTCTTGATGTTCATCATCATCGTGTTCATCTTCATACTCTTTGCCGTTTGCACGTTTCCAACACATGGGAGTAGCAATGCACTGGACATTCTTGGTTTTCAGTTGCAAAAAGCCTTGCGCGGCTGACTGCGGGCGCCTTTGCAGCTGCAAGAACGACCACAAACAAAATGGATCGAAAATGCTGATGTTGATGTTGATTTTGACCATCACAAGCCGAAAAAAAAACATGAGAATTCATACAGGTAAGGACTGCACCGTTTCTGAAAAGACCAAACAAATGTCATCACCACTATCATCATCATCATCATCATCATCATCATCGGCATGATCATGTTTTCATCATATACCTATCCATCACCAGGTTCATCGTCATGACGTTTCCCATCGTCACAATCAGTAAAGTCATTCTGCACACACAAACAAAATTGTTGCTTTCCGTTGCACCAGCATATTATCAAACCATGTTGTTTTTTATCGACGCAAAACCCCAGTGTCAAAATGTCAATTTTGCATATGCGCAAGTTTTCAACACACGAATCGCAATGCAATGGACATTGGTTTTCAGTTGCGAAGCACAATCGCAAAAGAATCCCAAGGAAAATGGATCGGTGTATGGACTGTGTATGTATGGAAAAACCAGAACGACGTGATGGAAAACTCAGCGCTGCACCTGGCTTCCGAAAAGGCCATCAATGTCATCGCAATGGCGAATCAGCAAACGCAGTTGCAACCATTTGACTTGTATTGCGCTCACGTCATGCTACACATCTGTAATCCATGCTGTAGCGTCAGCAAGAAACGAACACTGTTGTTCTCCATTCTCCACGCTCCCAAGGAATTGCCAGAAGATTGGAAATGGCGTTTGGCACTGGCCATTTCACATGCTGTTTGCGTGAGGCCACTGGTCACCTCACAATTGTTTCACGATTTGAACTGAAACCAAAACTCAGCAACGAAACGGCCGTGGAACATATATGAGTCGTTTATTGTGCGTGTGTGTGTGTGTGTTTGTGTTTGTGTGTGTGTGGAATGTTTGTGTGAAACCGCACGCGTTTTCTATTTGGCTGCGGCCAGCCACAGCCGCTCCAGACTGTCGACCTCCAGAAGTGCAACATGATTTCAAGCTCCTGAGAAATAGAAATGATTTCGGCAAGCTGTTCTTCGGTTTTCTTGAGACCCTCGCCAATGCTTTGCAGCGATCCAGCTCCTGCATGTCGGGCGGGCATGTATGATATTGTATGATCATCAGCATCAAAAAGTAAAAATCAGCCGGTCAGCCTGTCAAAAATTAATTCTGTCTGGACTGAGATGCATGAGTCTGAGTGGGAATTGGAAAAATAAGGGCAGTTCTTTCATGCTCTCACTAGAGCAGCCAATAATGCACCATAACCAAAGGGATACCAACAGGCTGCAAACTTTCAAGCTCCTTGGAAAGGCGAATGTTTTCTTCAAGTTGTTCTTCTTGAGCTTTCTGGAGATCATTCGCTCGGGCCCTGGAGTGATCCAACTCCTGCATGTTGGGATCATTCACAAGACTTGGGCGGCTGGGAGCTTCCAAAGGCCTTTGCATACATGTATGATCCTGACTGATAATGCACTAATAAACAATCAATCTATGAAGCAGTGTGACTGAGCCGCTATAGATGTTGGCATTACTTAATATAATTGGATATTGCTGCACTGCAGAAAATCTATGTTTTCGGATTCGAACTGTGCGAAAAGGTGCCATAGATTTACCCATACCTATGTCAATTTTCTCATGTGAAACTGGAGACAGCCTGACTGTCCTTAGCCAGCTGGGACATCTCTGCTTCGTGGTTTTCTTCCAGACCACGCATTCGGGCAATCTCTTCGCTGCATTCGTCGCGCTCCTGCAAAAGCGACACGAAACATCAGCATCACAAAGTAGAAAAAAACAGCCGGTCAGCCTTTGAGAATTGATTCTGTCTGGACTGAGATGCATGAGTCTGAGTGGGAGTTCGGACAAAAGGACAATTCTTATAGAAGATCAGCCATAAGCCGGTAATTCAGAACCAAAGGGATACCAAAAGGATCCAGGCTCAAAGCTTCCAAGCTCCTTCGAAATCCGAATGATTTCTTCAAGTTGTTCTTCGCGAATCTTGCGTAGTTTGGTCACGAAGTGAAACACGAAGTCCTGCATGTTCGGATCATTCACAAGACTTGGGCATGTTGGGAGCGTCCAAAGTCCAAAGGCCTTTGCACACATGTATGATCGTGCATCTACAAAAAAATATCAATAGATATCAGTAAATCTACAAGCAGTGTGACTGGGCCGCTAGATGTTCTCATGTCATTGTTGGATATTGATATTGCTGGTTTGCAGGAAAACATTGCTGCTAATTTTTGGATGGGGACTGTGCGAAAAAGTGGCATAGAGCGACCCATAATTCTGCATGTCTTGAAGAGTTTGACAGAACATCATCTAAACCCAAAAGCTCCTTTTCCGCAGAGCTTTCTGGAAACCCTGGTGATGGTGGAAATCCAGCAGAGGACTCTGCCGTCACCTTCACGGAAAAAATCAGAGCCGACAATATGCCAAGAATGGCAAAATCTACAGGCTTTTGTGACCAACGCAGTCACGAAATGCCTGAAGGTTTTGATTTCCCTTCATTGCTTCAAAATCTTCAGAGCTCAACCTATTGAAAAACACGACAACAGAGTGAATTACTGCAAGGACTGCAACATTGCTTCAAGGTGCTTCAACAGAGACCAAGCAGTCAACAAACTTCAAACTGTACGTGCATCAACAAACATTAACACGCGCGAACAAAATCGGTTGTATACAACAACAACAACAACAACAACAACAACAACAACAACAACAACAACAACAACAACAACAACAACAACAACAACAACAACAACAACAGATGAGAAGATGAGAAGATGTGAAGAGGGTTGATGATGTGAGGATGTGAACATGAGAAGATGTGAAGATGTGAAGATGAAAAGATGAGAAGATGTGAAGATGAGACGATGTGAAGATATGAGGATGTGAAGATGTGAGGATGTGAGGATGAGAAGATGTGAAGATTTGAAGATTTGAAGATGATATGTGAAGATGTGAAGATGTGAAGATGTGAAAGGGTTTGACAGACCCCCACTATTAGAAGAACCCTTCGCTCAGACGCTCTCGGGAATTGCTGTAACAAACAAAGTCTTCATTGTAAAGAGGGTTTCCTTGGGGAATTTGGGTTCAAAAAATAGTGTGCATTTAAACATGTCCCCTTTTTCAAAGCTACATCCAACATGTCAACGATTTTTCGTGGAAAACAACCAAAATCATTGCATTTCTCCTGGGGAAGTTCACTCTATCCTGGGCAAGCAGAGATCCTGCTAACATAGCCTCTATCAGCCCCTATCCATGATCTGCAAGTCTGGCCAGTTGCTTACAGGAGGCTATGTCAGCACTTGTGTTCATCCCTTTCATCAATATTGTTTCCTTTTCCCCTTGCAAGACATCCTGTCAGGCCGCCCTCATTTCAACAAAAATGGAAAGAATGGCTACTAATAAAGAAAGAACCCAGAAACTTCCCAAAGAAAGCGAAAACGGTGGAGAATATGCGTTTTCTCAGAGAAATCTACCTAACATAGCTCTTGGGATAGGATTCTCCACATGTACGATTGGAAACGGCAGGCGGTGAAGATCCAGATCACATCGAACAAAATCCAAAAGTGAAGTGGCTAACATGGATTTTCACAAGTCATATGCAACCATGGGAGGTTGCCAGCAAAACCCAGCTCATCCTTGGTTTTGTCATGTTGTTTGGGTTTCCCACCCAAACACGATGAAACCCACCGAAGCCAAGCAAAACGGTAATTCTTTTGCCCCATATGGCCATCATGGGGAATGAAAGCAGGGAACAGAACAAATGCCAGAAGTGCCGAGGAGCAGGGACAGCTTTTACAGAGGACAGGCATGGAAGGCAAGGAGGCGCAACGGTGACAGCCACGACAGGTCCCAGTTGCGAGGAGCCACTGTGGAAAAGCAACCAGAGGCTTCAGGTACGCAACGAGGGGCGACGCAACCAAAAAACACACTGTTTGGATGTTTGTCGGGCATTTAAAGTTCATGGGATCACACACACTTGGCTGCAAAAATCACCTAAACATCCCCTGAACCATCCGAAGTGCCGACAATTTAGAATTTAGACCAGGAAGACCCAATTTGAAGGGAAAACCCAGGAAATCTGGATTCAATAGAGCAAATGATTGCAGGGAAACACAACAGGTCCAAGAATTCAGCTGCGGGGACACCAAGCCATACAAGTGTTGTCCACCTAACTTGGCTTGTCCTTTTGTCATGTTGACATGGTAGGTATTGGCTGTATTGGCTGGAAAAGAGGCTATGCTAGACCGTTAGACTATCGGGTGCGATTTCACCTTAGAAAGGATAATGTCAAACGCTTTAAACTAATATGGCCTCAATCCCACTGTTTTGACATGTTTCACTACCTTGGCATCAGGTTATTCATATTTTTCTGTGGGTAGCTAGGCAGCTCAAGGCAAGTTTTGGAGAGAGTAAAGTTTGCCGTGTTTCAATGTAAAAAAATGTACAGGGCCGCATAGAAGTGTTGGCCAAAGAAGAAATGTGAGCCTCTGCAGGAGTCTCTCTTTCGGCCTGCTGTATGCCAAGCTGGTGCAACATCATCAACGAATTCTGATGCAAACAAAAGTGACCAAATAAGCAGAAAGGCCTCGGGTTGTGGCGCTTGCGGGCTCTGACGCTTCGCCTGCATGGTTCACCCTACTGCACATCTCACAAGACGAACATAAAGAAAAAATACCAAAAATATCAGAAAAGAGTATCACATGCAAATAATGTCTGTCTTACCCTTCGTTTGTGTTGCAAAGCAGCAAAGCTGTCCTGACTGACTGCAACCGAAGGAAGCTTCGGTTCTGCTTCCTGGATCAAAGCCGAGACATTCGTTTCTGCCTCAACTACCTTGGTTCGATTTCAAGCCAGATGGACAGCACAACTTGAAAGGCGTGATGTATATCAAGACTATCAAAACAACTGGTCGGGGAAGCGAAACTGACGAAAACCTACGCACAAAGGTGCTACTACCGCCTCGACCCTTCATTCACAAGAAACTGCCAAAAGCAAGACTCTAGCAAGACTGTCGCTGTGGATCACAATTTTCACGTGGAATGCAATGATCTGAAAATTGTCTATAGCAGCATGGCACCCTGCAGTTCAGAAGATCATTTGTGTCCACCCCAGGATTGTAGGCCCCAACCAGGCACCAAAACCAAACACTTGCTTCGGGCTTCTAGGGTAGAGCAGAAGTGAACATGCAACGCTTTCAAATTTCATACTGATTCATACTGTAGTTCCATGCTTTACTGAGAATGCGGCAACCACATCTGGCGTTTTTGCCGCGACCTCAACCTGCAAAGTTTGTCGTGATTCAATGTAAAATGTAAAATAATGTACAGGGCCGCATAGAAGTGTTGGCCAAAGAAGAAATGTGAGCCTCTGCAAGAGTCTCTCTTTCGGCCTGCTGTATGCCAAGCTGGTGCAACATCATCAACGAATTCTGATGCAAACAAAAGTGACCAAATAAGCAGAAAGGCCTTGGGTTGTGGCGCTTGCGGGCTCTGACGCTTCGCCTGCATGGTTCACCCTACTGCACATCTCACAAGACGAACCTGAGAAGGGAGGAACGAAAGCCAGGGGAGTGCGAAGGTGGGTGCGAAGAAGAAGGAGAGGAAGAGGGAGGATGCGGGAAACAGAGTAGATCGAGGAGAGGTGGTGCCAGGAACGCACGAGCTTTTGTCTCGCTGCAGCGGGCAAAGCTGAAAGGTGCAGAAGTAGGCTGCGAAGGTCCTCAAATGCACCTCCCACAATCCCTACCGTTGCACCGTATAAACGGTTTTGCTCGTTTCTTCCATGGTTTTATTTCCGTGTTTCTACTCCATAGTGGTCACACATCGAAACCGCAATTTTTCCGTTGTTTTTCCATTGTTTCACGCGTGTTTTACGCGATAATGGTCCCACATCGGAGCCTCAATTTTTCCATTGTGTTTCCATCCCATCAATTTCCGTCATTTTACTTTTATTTTACTTGGTATCAATTTCGTCCCACATCAGAGCCGCAATTTTTCCATTGTTTTTCCATTGTTTTACTCCACTTCTTCATCATAGTCCCTCGATTTTTCCATTGTTTTTCCATCGCTAATAGTCTCACATCGAAGCCACAGTTTTTTCCATTGCTTTTCCATAGTTTTACTCGACATCATTTTCCCCTCCATTCCAGTCTCCCCAGTGACCCTTTCACAGTTTTTCCTCCAGTTTTACTCAGTCGTCCCATAGTTTACGCGATGTCTCTATCAATTT